ATCGCGTACATGCGTGGCACCAAGGTCCAGGAAAGGCGCATGCATAGATCGATCTGTAGCTGCACGGAAGCTGCGCAGGGCCTTCTCGTGTGGCGCAGCATGTAGCTGAGGACCTCAGCTTTCGTTTGAGCCCACATACGTCATGATGCGGCAATTTTTTGAACTCACGTACAGTTCGAGTAAAATCGGCAAGGATTTTTCGGGCATTTCACTTGGTTGCACGCATTTGCCATGTAGCTCATCGTCTTCAGCGTCGTATTTCCTTTCGGAATCAGTTGTCCTCGTTCGTCCGACACTTTGCGCATTGCTGCGCAAGGAGAAATAATGCGAGGTGTTATTGGAAGCGAACCGCGACAGGCGTCCTCCCGGCAATAGTCCTTGTTCGTCGGAGCCCATGCGCATGGCTGCGCAAGAAGAAATATTGCCAGGTGTTATTGGAGTCGCATCGGAGCAGTCGTCCTCTCCTGCAGGCGACGAGTAGGACAGTATATACTTCGGCGACTGGACCAAGAGAGCTGACATCAAAACGGCCTGCTCAGAACAAATCGTCAGCTGATCAGCAGGTGGCTTCCAGCGACCAAGAAAAGCATTGACGGTGATATTATACCAAGAATCCAGCACACACTCTGTACTCTATGCACAAAATCTCTCATGCTGGAGTTGCTAAAGTTTCAGTAGTGCCAAAAATTTGCAGACGATGTTCTACATGTAATAGTTTGTCATTTCTTTCCGTCAAATACCCGGTAAATTCTGGTTTGCTCAATCTGCGGCTCATTGTTCTTCCGTACTCGTCTTCAGTACTGTACATGTAGCAACAATGTGTTCTGGCACTGAATTATTGTAGTTACTTTATCTTACCTCAAAGTCTCATCTTATGCTTTTCCAAAGGCTTCTCTGCACTGTTTTTATGCTGTTGCGATGGAGTTGCTATGCTGTTGCTATGGAGTTGCCATGGTGACCACACCCGATATCTTCGTCGGAGCTGCCGGACGGATGAAAAATCCGAAGTTTTTCCAAACCATGCTGTTTCTGTATTCATCTGGTTATTTTGACCTGCTTCCTGCGAGCCTGGTATTTTGCCACTATAGACACTGAAGTAAGTTCTGCCAATTTCTGATATGCTGCTGGTGCCGTCGAAATACTGAAAATGCCGTTATTCAATTCTCCGACTTTGGGTGGCTATATCTCTGTGCCAAGTTATTCTTTTTGCTTCAAATTTTCTGTGGAGTCTTCCTAAACCTATCTGAATCGGATACAAAAAAGAAATACGCGTATTTCTCGTTTTGAAAAAATCGCCTGAAGTGCCTAATAATAACCTTAGCCTGTCAAACCCATAAGGGCCATAGGGTTTGCGGCCGTTTGTGCTCTCTTGAGAGCCCACTTGGCTGCTATGGCAACTAGACGCCTGTGCCCACATACGTAGAATGTACGAAGGGTTCTCTTGCTGAAGACCGTGAACATTTTGTTGCTATTTTCTTCGAGTACGGTTAGTTTTAGTGCAGCGCTGTCGTAAAAAATTCTAGGCCCTATATCTAGGGTTTGATTTTTCACGATGGAGGAAGAGCAACTTGAGTTAGTGGAGACGAACTCGGGCGATGAGAATGTTCCTGGCGACCTGGTGTCGACTTAGGATGATGATGTCGATGTTCCAGCAGCGTCGGATGCTCCTGAAGAAGAAGGCGAAGTATCAACAGCGGCTGTCGCAGCTGCCGCTCTCGCCATTGCCGTTTCTGCATCAGCTGATCCACACGTGGGTCGGAAGCAGCAAATGCGGCGACACTCGCGCACGTCGTAGGAGCGCTCCTGCTAACATCAATGGCAATGCAGTGAAAATATAAAAAAAACCAAGTGAAACTGTGTGTATTGTGTGCCCAGTTGTGAGGACTGATCAAACCCTTTCTTTAGGGGTCCTAACCCTATATAGGGTCTTTATGTGTAGCGTTATGTCAAACCCTATATATAGGGTTTCCTGGTGACAGGCTACTAGCCTGTTTGACCTTTTTTGGGTGCAGTCCGGTCACTCGAGTTGAACCTTGGTGTGAAAGTTGTCGCCTGCTGGCGCGGTGACCAGGTGATTTGGGCAAACAGGAGCACGTGACCGCTTGTTCAACCATGTTCGATTGGGAATAAAGGAGGAACGCTGCATCGCAGCCTTTTCGGACCAAAACCAGTCGCCCACCCACATACCCATGCGCGTACTCCTTACACTTCACCCTCTCTGAGTCTCACATTGTTATTATTTCTCACCTCCCCACCTCTGTTATTAGTTTCACACTTCTCTTGTCTTTCGCACTTCACCTTCTTTTCTCCTATTTTATTTCACACACTGCATTTCGTACTCTTCCACGTATATATCGTTGTTCATTGCTAGATTTCAGTATTGAAACGTATTTTCCCTGATGAATGTCTCTAGAAAACGTGTTCGGAAACTTTTTATCCCACTTGTTTATCCATCTTTTATTTTTGTTCGTGACTTTTCTAATAATTATTGTCCGCAAACTCCTTTTTTTGGAGTTGAGAAGTGAACTTAAATGTACAAGTACAATACATTGGAAAACTTCAAGAAATTCCACTTAAAACAGGCGAAATTCAGTTCTCAATAGCCGATGCCTACCCCAGGGCCAGCACCATCCTGCGTCGAGAGGCCTGTCAGGTGCCTTCTGGACCCGCGTAGCCTAGCCGGAGGTCGACTGCATGGAACACTGCAAATTGGGTACAAATTCGCACCCAAGCCATTATGATCGAAAAGGGCTTGTCCCACTTGAGGCGAGCTAGGCGACCAGCAAGTCGCTTCTGATAGCTGGCGTATTCACGATGCAGCACCGCATCCGTAGAACACACCAGTGGTGTGAAACACCCACGGAGGTCCTCGGAGGCCTGACGGTACTTCTTTTTCTTCGCGTTGGCAGCGCGGTTGGAAGTAGCTTCCCATGATGAATGGGAGTAACTGGGTGCGTTGGCATCAATGATGCGATTATCAAAAACGCCACCCTGTTATCCTCCCCCACACCCCGGGCAAGCCAATGTGCCCGAAGAGCAAGCTGCCCCGTCCGATCACCCTACGGCACCATGATCGTCGACGACAACACCACCGAATGCCATATCAGCTAGCTTAGCGTCACTATCACGCAGATCATTGTGGCCTCGCTTGATAAGTCCATCTTGCGGGCAGTCAAGGCCATGCTGAAGAGAGAAGGGCTTCCTGCAACCATCACATTGCGCCGGCAGGGCAAGCGGCTGCCAACCATAGCGGATGGCAGATTGATTCCGGAATTCCGTACTCGACAGATCATACCCCTTGCTACTTCAGGGGCAACACCGTTATTTTGGTGTCATCCGGAGGCATTTCCCCGTGCGATGCGGGAGAGGGTGCAGTATAGTAGTACTTCCGTGACCAGTCCTGGAGATGTCCTGTAGATAGGACATCCCGGAACCCAGCATGCATCTATGCTGTTCCCATAGTAATCGTGACACGTGACTCAAAACTTTGGTGACGCATTTGCTATACAGTATGGTCTGCAGCTCCCTGGTATACCATGGTGTACCGTCTAATTGTGTCTGTGGTCATGTCTCCACAATTGACCATAATGTTACCGGTAACCTGCCCAGCTGGCGGGTATTTTTTATCACATTGCACATATTGCACATACCTACAGAAAAAGGGGAAACAAACGTATGTCGGTGCCGGGCAGTAGTAATACTGCAACAAGTGCAAGTCAAGTAACTATATCCATCTACCCGACACGATAATGTGCGTAGCATCCTGGCGGAGATGCTCTCCGAAGCCGTTCGCGTTGTCGAGACTGAGCCACGTCTCTGGCCGCTGTCTGGCGAGGATCTGCCCTATGCCACGGCTGACCGGATTGATGAGGCTCGGCTGGACATTCGTGCCCGGGGCTTCTGGACAATGCAGCAGGACGCCTATTGTGATGTTAGGGTAACCCACCCTAAGGCGTCTGTGCTGTCTGGTCCAGAAGTCCTTAACCAACTCAGGGCCCATGAACGGCAAAAGAAGCAGCAGTACGGTGCCAGGGTCACTGAAGTTGAGAGAGGCTCTTTCGCCCCTCTTGTGTTCACCATGAATATGGGATGGCGGGGCCGGAGTGCTCACGATTCCTGGCGACCCTTGCCGGTCGGCTCGCGGAGTGCAATAAAGACATCCAATATTCAACAATCATCAGTGCCTTGCGTGTTCGGCAGACGTTCTGCCTTGTACATTGGGCAATAACCTGCTTTTGCGGCTGCCGGTCCTCGTACCAACGTCGTCGCGTCTGCTCGTCGTTGATGAATTCGGAGATATTTTGCACATGTAAAGAAATATGAAGCGCCAAAGGGGCCGCGATCTTGAGTGCCGCGAATGTAGTATGCACTGCGCGTATGCGAAAAGGGAAATGCGTACACTCATGATCAACACGTGGCTTTTAGCCGTAGTTCGCATGCACTGATTCCAAACCGCGGGAATCTCCAAGTTTCAACCACCTCTGAATCTCGGAGAGCTTGGAGAGCCTCCGAAAAGTCGGAGAGGATGTAAGAACTGCTCTCTTGAGCTTTTCGGAGAGTCTCTAACTTTTCCGAGAGGATCTAAGAATGCACCCCAAGAGTAGATAAACAGTACTAGTACTAGTAGTAAACAGTTTATTAGTATCTGGGATCCCGTAGTGCCGGTGCACCCTCGCCCGCAGCCGCACACATTGACCTAGCATGGCATGAACGTGGAGTGCCTCAATTCTGGCGGGAGAATTAGCAATTCCGCCCTCTCTTCAGAATTCATCGTCGATTCCGACGACGGAATTTGTATAATTGAACGGTGGATCCACCATAATTCATTCTAGAATTGACCGAAATGTGTGTAATCGAACGTGCCCACCCATTAGGCATGTGGCGTCACTATTTCCACAAAATAGGCAAACGAGTAGTAACATTTCCACTAAAACTCACAGACAGGGTACCCAGTACTGAGTACGTAGACTGAGGTGCCAGTAGCCATGGTAACCTGGAGGTCCGCACATAGTAAGAGAGGTATGTGTACTCTCTGCGTGGGTTCTTCTCTGCACTTGGAAAAATCAATCAAAGTAAGTATGTTGGCCTATCGGCCTATCCACCATCATCCTCCAGACTGACAAGAAACACAACGTTGACTTGGACAAGGGGCATACGTGCATCTGCATGCACAGACTAAACAAATCTATATTAGTATAGATATTTTCACACCAGGCTTTTCACAGAAGAGCAATTACATGTATGCCGAAGGCAAGATTCAGGAACATCGGAGAAGTTCCGGAAAGCTGTTCTCAACGCGATGTGCATGACCAGCAGCAAGGAGACACTATAATTAGGAGTGAGGAAATAGCCGCAGAAAATTATTGCAGCACTGAAATATTTCAGACGTCACATTGTAAATGTAAGTTTGGTGTTACCACAGCCGGTCATTGCTATACATGTACAAACACAGTGTGTGTGTGTGGGGGGGGGGGGGGTGCGTGTGTGCATGCGTGTGTGTGTGCGTGCGCGCGCGCGTGTGTGTGCTTGTGTGTGCGTACGCACGTGCATGCGTGTGCATATGAATTTATGCCAGTGTGTTTGTGTGTGCATGTGAGTGCATGTATAAGCGTGCGTATATGCGCGTCTGTTGATCCATGTGATCACGCAGCAGCTCTGGTGGTGGTGGATTACTTGACCAGAATTATAACACATGCAGTCTGGAAAAGCACTGTGCTAACTGACAGATGCACCGTCCACCATCAGCAGCACTAGTGTCATCAGTACGTTAGGACCTAGAGACGCGTGTACAGACACACTGACGACATCAAGGTAACTTCAATGATTGCATGATACAGCAGGGACCGGGTGATGTTTCTCTCTCAAACGCCGGCTGCATAATACTCAAGTCGGAGTGGGAACAATTTGCTTCCTGATCCGTATATAGATGTAGCGAGTACAAGTGGAGACGAGTATTCACCTACTGAAGCTCATCATCTGTGCTATCCACAATCTCCAGCAACCGATAGCTTGCCAGATTGACATATATGGGTTCTTCATCTATATAATCAACTTCAGGCTGTGCCGGCCCGGTTTCGATGTGTTCAGTATCAGCCTCTTGACCGTCTGGTGGGTCACGGGTCAAGGTGCTTGCAAGTTCAGTGTCCGTTGCTGCGCAAGCACAGCTAGGATCATCTGCTGATTGTGATGTTTTCATTGCTGACACACTTCCCGGGTATGGTGCAGACCCAATCAGGCCGTTGCTATGGGCTTGCGATGCAATGTGACCTGCTTCGTCAGTTGAAAACTCGATATCCTCGTATGGGTGCTCGTCTTCCGGCTGTTCGGGCTCCATTGGAAGTTGTCTCGCTCTCTGGCTTTTGGTAGCGCTGGCTTTCATAGCTGCTAGCTGGGTCGCAGTGCTGGCATCAGAAATACTGTCACTTCGTATGGGTACAGCAGGTTTAAGGCGAGATTGAGACGATGCAGGCAGATTACCTGCATTGTCAGAATGGCCCGGTGCGTCGCTAGTGGAATCACAGATTTCCGGTTCAACATGCTGTCGCTTCCGGTCCTCTCCTGTTGTCACTTCTGCACCGCTCCATGCTTGGGTCTGATCTCTTCCCGTGTCTGTGGTGCGTACGCATGATGCCCGCATGCACATGCGTACATATATGCACACACGCACGCACGCACACGCACACACACACACACACACACGTACACATATACATACACACACACATACACACACATACACACACACAAACACACACGCATACACACACACACACACAAGCACACACGTACACACACACGCACAAACATGCACACATGTTACAGTACACACGCACACACACACAGTTTACACACATACATGCTGATATGACTGTCACTGCATCTACAGTTCTTGCCGCAGAGAAATCCGATCTCATGAATAGAAGATAGCACCACGTTCACGTGAGCAGAGAGTCGCGGTGTGTGCGTGTGTGTTTGTTTGTGTGTATGTGTGTGTGTTTGCGTGCATACATGCGTGCATGCGTGTGTGTTTATGTGTGTGGTGCTAGGGTTGCGTAGCCCTCGTCGCTACTAATAGTATTAGATTCATGAGGTCAGATTACTTGGCCAGGATTGTACATGCATGTGACTATGTATATACATCCAGTACATACGGTACATGTGGCTGTACAGTACATAACAGAGAACTCTGACAACTCACAGACGTCAGCTACAGCAAACCCGGAAACCGTTGCGCCCGTTTTGGTTCACGATTCGCGAACACAGACAAATTTGCACCTGGAGATGTTCGCGATTGGAGTCAATGTCCTTGGTTTCTTTACTACAGTTCTGCGTTTCACATCGGCTTGCTTTTGCGATTTTACGCCCATTGCGAAAACCGAGAAGGATTCCGGATCGCAAAGGTTTCCCAGTTTACAATATTGCACTCTGCTGAAAGACATTTAAAAAGTTCATGAACACACAAAATGGTGTAGTCCAATGAGAAGGTCTGGTAACAATTCGGGAGTCAATAACAGGCAAATGCCACATAATACATATCAGGCACTATGGTCCTAAAGAAATTTATTCCAACGAAGAGATTTCACGTTATATGTAAAACTACCCAAATGAATAATTCCACCGCCACCACGTGTGCTCTCTGGCCGACCTCATCAGGTGAAATTATTCATTAATGAAGAAGCTGAAAGCAGCTGCTCATCCTGGCAGTACTACTAACTTCCTCGTTATACATGTCCATATCTTACAGTATATTATAACTGCACAATGTGTCTTTAATTAGCAGTAACAGGAGAAGAGTACTTACCTGAACACTTGCTTGTACCCGTACATGGTGCAGCATCCGTACATGGTGCGGTAGCTGCACTGATGCCGCCCGTACCACGACGTCGAGGTTTCGGCACTGGGCGAGGAGAGTAAGCAGCCGTTGCTGGTGGTGAGGTGGTAGTCACACTCACACTTCCGCTTCGTTCCGACAGACCACCTGGAACGACGCCGCATTGTGCCGTGATGTCATTAGTGACTTGATCATGTGACTCTGTCTGGAGCGGGTGTGACGACTGGTGGCGATGTGCAGCTGTTTTCTCATGGCTAGACTGAGCAGCTATGCTGGATGACGGTAGTGTCTGCTCCGCTCCTCCTCCCGTGATGGTATTGGTATTGGACACGCTCCCGAGCAGTGGGTCCACTGCAATCGTGTGAGTGTCGGGTGACACGACACACTCGCCGCTCTTGCCTATCACTGCGTGTTTCTGACTGGGCGGAGAGTAATCCGGCGAGTTGAGATCGCGCTCGTACCGCTCCCGTGCCGGACTTACGCCACCACAACGAGGAGGCTTCTGGGGTTTGGCCAGCATGTTTCTAGTAGTAGGACTCAGCAGTGGGGTGGATTTGGCTGGTGACAAGACGGCGGGTGGAGCGGGTGGTGGGGAGGACGGTGGGGAGTAACTGAGCGGCGGTGGTCTAGGACCGGCGGGACCTTTCAGATTGAGTAACCGCAGGTCTCCGCCACTACCACCACCGACAGCTGATGTGGAATTGGCACTTAGACGACCGCGGCTTGCCCCGATACCGTCATCCTTGCTCAGATCGTTCATAGACTGGCTGGACGAGTCATGTCTTTTCTGAAGCTGCCGCACTACCTCTTGCGGTGGCGAACCGGGAACTGCTTTAGCATCACGACCGATGCCGCTCCACGTTATTCTTCGCGGCATGCCCGCTATCTCTCCGTCGGTGCTATCCACACCTCCTCCAGCCGCCGCTATCTTAGCCTCAGCCAGGGCAAAGTGTGGTGAGGCGTTCAGAGCGGCGTCCTCCAAGTGCAGCTGTTGCCGACCAATGCGGGCGATATCATTCTGCTCTGACTGCAACACCTTGAACTTAGTCTGCCCGTCCGCCATGTCCGCCTCATGCACTTGCTCGATGTACAGCTTGGCCGTGCTCAGCGATTGCTGGATGTAGGAGATGACTTCGTCGACGGATATCGCTAGGAACTCAATGTGCTGAACGGTAGTATCGGTGATGGAGCTACGACGCTGGGCGAACACTTCAAGCCACCAGGTCAGCTGACTTCGGTCAGCACCAAACGCCACTATGCTGCTTAGACTGGTCATATAGAACAGCTCCTCGTGCACTGGCTTCTGTAAGAGCAGTGTGTTGTCGACGATGTTGAGCAGTGCTTCGCTAGCCTCCACCAACTGTCCCGGCATGACAGTGATGAAGAATAGTGGATGGTCACCTGAGTTACATCGACGCGTGCACACACACACACACACATACACACACACACACACACACACACACATGCACGCATGCACATACACACACACACACACACACACACACACACACACACATACACACACATACATGCACGCATACACGCATGCACACACACACACGCACACACACATATACACACACACACACACATACACACACACACACACACACACACACACGCACACATACGGAGCCCACAGTTACAGCAACTGTTGGTGAAATCGGCTAATTGCATATGGTGACTTCTGACAAAAGGACTCTTGCACTGAACTGTGTGTTTAAAATCAAACACTTCGAAGTAATGATGTTGAAGCACATGACTCCCAACAACGACCTCTACTTGTCTATCCTTTCCACACATGCGCACGCAAACACATGTCACAACGACTTCTTCTCTATCTTCCACCCTTCTTTTTGGCTACCTCATGACTGGGAAGAAACTCCCGTCTGGATTCGCGGAATAGAACAACTGACACCATCATGATGTCCAGGATCACCGGAAGCATGCAGTTGTTGATTGGTCCAGTAGTATCATGGTCTTTCGTACAGTTTGTGTATGACATGGTGGGTACTCATGGCGGGTACTCATGGTGGGTACTCATGGCGGGTACTCATGCCCTTCACAGCAGCAAGCACGGGTTGGTGGCCACGCAGTTGGTCCGGTGATAACCTGACCAACCGGACCGCTTCCGGCGGGCCTGGTGTCAGAGTTATGATCCACACACTCATCTCCTCATCAAAAGAGAGCTCACCTCCCGGCTTCTTGGCCAACGCGGCTTTGAGAGTGGCAACCCAGTCTACTAATACATTCTTGCTATCCGTTGAGATATAGTAGTCAGAGTCCGACTGGATCAGCAGCACGTTGCGATTAACAAAGTTCTCCGACACGATCTGCAGCGACTGCGGATTGGAAATGCGAATGTCCTGGCGCTTGTGGCTGTGGCCCTTCTTGGCAGGGAAGATTGTTAGTCGAAGTCTCACTGCAGTACGAACACGCGAGCAGCACATTGCAACCATTCAGCGATACACTATCTATATACCGAAACCTTTGTAACCCTATTTGCAATTAGTACCGTGTTTACCGGAGTATAAGCCCCCCGCCCCCCCCCCCCCCCACACACACACAACTTGTTGGTCACCGTGGCGATATACAGATATCAACCCTATTTATCACCATTAATTTGATCATCGGAGAATAAGACGCACCCCCATTTTTGGGGTGAGTTTCGAGTGTTCAAAGTGCGGCTTATAATCCGGAACAATACGGTATATGGCAGGGCGATCTGGATGTCGGTTGCTCTGAGAAATGTCGCTATGGGTGTGGGTTGGTGGGCTCCATCACCAGGCACCAAGCATTCCTCTCAAATACCATAGAGATCTAAAAATTCTTATTAATTTTTTCGTCCTGTTCGCATGAGACTCGTTCTGACTGAATGTTCTGAATCAGAAAGAGCACTGCCACCGTCCAGGATCAAGATACAGATACAGCTCTGAGCACGATGGGACATGAGTAGATCAGACCCACCGCAAAACGGTCAAAGATCGAGAAAGAAAAAAAAAGTCTATTCTCTGAATCATGTGACCCTCGTAACATGGATATCAAATTTAGATGCGGGGGAGGAGGGGGGGGGGAGGGGGGGGAGGAGGGGGGGGGGGGGGGGGGGGGAGGGGGTGCAAACTATTTCAGCTACGTGTGGACTTGATGCTGTACAATGTAAAAAGGGATAATTCCCTACGCGAGACAGTTGCACACTGAGCAAATACGGATTTTTTAACGGAAATACATCTTATACAGTGTTGGTGTTTGCATAAGGCCTTAAAAGGGGTTTGTGCTGCATACTAGAGTGTACAGTGTACAGTGTACACTGTATGTACATAATGCTACATGAAAATGGTACACGTGTAGACACACGGCAACTTTGAAGGTACCTTTGCAGGTGCTTTCATTCTCCGAAGGCACGGGATCCCAGCAGAGTTCCATGTTGCGCAACTTCCAGTGGTTCTAAACCAACAACACAGCGACCAAACAGCATGCGTGCACACACACACACACACACACACATACACACACACATGCACACACATGCACACACATGCACACACATGCACACACATACACACACACACACACACACACACATACACACACACACACACACACACACGTACAGTAAGATCGGGCGCCGAAGAACGCAGGGGCTCGAGCGCAGCCTAGGAAAGTTCTTAAATTTTTGATTCTAGCCAGACCGTTCTTATTCACACGCGCGCGGCGAGTCGAGTGACGTCATGACGTTTGTCATGTACATGTGCATGTACATGTATAGCAATGTAGTACTTCTAAACTAGTAGGTGTCGTAAATGGGAATGACTGTACATGTAGCAGTTACTGTTTACACGTGTACATGACATGTACTCACCTCCCATACATGTACAATGTAGATCTACGTACAATGTAGATCTAGTGTTCTTAAATCTGATAATTCTAGCCTGGACTGTTCTTAAATTTTGCCGGTTTTCCAGCCTGGGTGTTCTTCGGCGAGGTGTTCTTCGGCGCCCGATCTTACTGTACAGTTATAAGTGTTAGCTCAGTAATGGGATTTCTCTCATCACACATCACCCTCCTCCACACCGACTGTCGCCATGTTATCTACACATCTTACATTCTGCCTATTTTTGATTACTGCTGCATAATTTGGGCTGGCATTTCTAAAACACTGATTGCTCGACTCGAAGTTATGCATAGGCGTCTTTTGAAAATATTATTTCGGCTTCCTCGCCTGACTCCAAGCACAGACTTATACCGCCTTGCTTCTGCTGTGCCGCTCTCGGTCCGCGTGCGTTTTTTTGGCATGCCAGACAATTCATAAAATTAAGCTGGGCATTGCTCCTCTTCATGCTCTCTCCTGCCTAAGCTGGTTTGCTCAATCTCAAGACATGCGCACCAGAAACTCTCTCCGCTTCCCTATTGCGCGGTCTGCCTCTATGCAAACATCTCCTCTCTTCCTTGCTTACCGCCATTGGTCTCTCCTCCCACAACATCTAAAATCCTGCCAATGTTACAATACATTCATACAGCTACTGCAGAATGCAACATACTAGTTGATATCCAGCCCTGCCCTAGCTTCTCTTATTTTTCAGTTCCCCTTTCATTCTTTTTCTTTCTCCCCTCTAGCTCTATTACCGCCATGGCTGGCTATCGCCCACATCACCATTTCATTGGCTAGTGCCACGTGATTGTGAATAAATAATAATAATAAAATAATAAGTTGCAGATTGCCTCTACACGTATCTGCAGCACTTGAAAGCGGAATACTATGGACTAAAGAGTCCACATATGTCTTCAGACAGATGTTTTCCTATTTCGCTGGAGCCTACGGTCAAGTAAGAACCTGTGCCTTGACATGAGATTAACAGGGGGTGACAGCCCGGGCAAGAATCACATCATCATATGACCAGAGATTGTGAGCCATATCCCCTTACCACCACCGTTGTTAAGACAGCATAAAATCAAGATTAGGGAGCCGGTTCTGACTTTTTGCGGCACGGGTGTCTGCCATGGTGAATTTCCTACACCGCAGCATAGTTGGTGCAGATAAACGGCGGGAAGCTGCGCAGTGTGTACAACTGAGATCCAGTTGTGCAACAGGAGACTAGCTTGAATCCTTCTTGTACTCACTACAGTACCAAAACTGACTCGAGCGACGCAATCCACGGGAATTTCGCAGTGGCAGCGACCAATCCAAGCTCCACACAATTCGTCTCATGTACTCTCGCTGTAAGGCATCGCATATGCAACTTAGACATCACCAAGGGTGGAAGTGAAGCAGCCTGTCCAAAGCCTAGAACATGATTATACAACCAAAGCCTGATAAGACGTACCCACAAGGGAACACGGTAAAAGTACTTTCTGAACACGAAAAAAGTACTTTCTGAACACGGAAAAAGTACTTCCTAACCAACGTACTTACTACACCCGTACAGCAATCAAGTGTGACAATTTTTTCCTCAACTGCAAAAAGTACGTACAACACAATAGCACATCTTACACTCTGCACATCTACAGTAAAACCTGGAACTAAACACCACCGTGACTAGCGACCAGCCTGCTACTGTAAAGCGTGAAATTTTCGCGGCGTTTTTAGTTCGCGTTTTCAGAATCCGGACAGGTTTGCGAGGTTTTAATTTTGCGATTGCAGAATGGCATTCTTGCTAAACCTGTGGCATTCTTGCTAAACCTTTCATGGATCTCCTTTTCGCGCTGTCTAAATTTCGCGATTTCCACGCGGTCGCAAATTTCGCAGAAATTAGACCATGGCAATAATTTCACGGTTTACAGTACAACAGACCACCACTTTGTCAGGCGCGGATGGTCTCACATTCATGTAAGGGTTGTGCGGTGCAAACTTCTAACTAAGGACCACCTGCCACTAAAGGCTGCTTTCTCTGGCCCCACGGGGTGGTCGTTAGTCACAGGTTTCACTGTACGTACTAAGCAGTATTGACTGGATATACGAGGTTTTTGACTGGATAGACGAGGTTTTTGACTGGATATACGACGTTTTGACTGGATAGACGAGGTTTTTGACTGGATATACGAGGTTTTTGACTGGATAGTCGAGATTTTTGACTGGATATACGAGGTTTTGACTGGATAGACGAGGTTTTTGACTGGATATACGAGGTTTTTGACTGGATATACGAGGTTTTTGACTGGATATACGAGGTTTTTGACTGGATAGACAAGGTTTTTGACTGGATAGACGCGGTTTTTGACTGGATATACGAGGTTTTTGACTGGATATACGAGGTTTTTGACTGGATAGACGAGGTTTTTGACTGGATAGACGAGGTTTCAATGCGGAGAGACGAGTATGATCACTGTGTACTGTGTACAGCTTACCATTCCCAAGCGATGGAACGCCACTTTGACCAGGCCAGACTTGATGACAGTACTCTCCTTGGTCAGGGTCGGCTGCTTCCATAGTTTTGGTCTGGTCACAACCGGCTGTGAGGATGGATCACTGTCCGGGGTGCTACAGTCACTCCCCGTTACGCCATTAGCAGTCTCCACAGCGGGTATGGGTACTTTGCTTGCCTGAACAACAGGAGGACAACAGGAAATATACACACGCATGCACGCATGCACCACACACACACACACATACACACACACACACACACACACACACGCACACACACACACACACACACACACACACACACACACACATACATACACACGCATACACATACACACGGGCGCACACATGCACATACACACATACACACACATACACACACATACACACACATGTACACACACACACACACACACACACACACACATGTACACACATACACACACACACACAGGAACATCCTTCAACTACTGTATCTGTGTTCGGAATACAGCGATCAAACACCCCATACAGTTGGTGGGTACACAGTGAACACCTACACACATGCCATTGAGCTCAATTTCTAGTCAACATTGCACCTTCTCATGGAGAGGACATTTTCTACATGACCACTATTGAGTCATGGCATCCAGGGAACGACATGGACTTTAACCCTACAATTTAGCACATCGTCTAATGATGTGGGTTTCAACCCCGCCCTGCCCGTTAAGGTCGCCCTTTGGGCAGGGCCGATTTATAAATGTACATGCATACGGCACCGTGGCTGCGCCACCATAGGGTCAGCAGGCTGCTACGGCCGTGCTCGTGATCGTGAGCTGCTTTGACCATGGATCACATAGAACTTCCGAATCAAGGCTCAAAACTCACATTGTTTCGGGTATTATGATCTCGTCTCGTCTTCCTAGCTGCTTATGATTCCCCTGCTGAGGGGCACCATTGGAGACCCGGAGCCAGCTCCTGAGATGTGGTACAGCCCCAAGTTCAAGCAGGCCTGGCAGAACCAGTCCGGTTGGTCAGGCCATGGCGGACCAACTTTTCGCCCACCAACGTGTGTTTTTATTGCTGATGAGACCATGTGTCTTTTTTTTTTTTTTTTTTTACTACGTTCACATAACCAACTCGAAAAGAATAAGGAAAGACAATGGTACGGAGACTAGGACAAACGTGACAACTAATGAGCAGGCGCTGCACCGAGACGCAGCAGTGATGGTGGGGCATTGATGACTCTGCCGACCTGAGGTCTCGGCGTCTACTCTCCATATCCTACGCATAGTATGAACAGCTAGGGTATGGTCAGATCAATCAAACACTGCTGCCACCGGTCCTGAGTTGGCTTCACAGCCGATCATTACCTGATTTCAATATGAAAGGACTTGATCACTTCTCTAACCCCATGCATAATGTATGACTAGTAAGTATACATTCAGTTAATTAAACATTCCACTGTCAATTGGCATTGGCATCTACTAGTACCTAGCATGCACTGTTGTGCCCGCTGAACACTAACAGCAGTTTACGAGGTGAAGACTCTAGCAAGGAGTGCATGATCATAGGATTCTAGTACATTGTACTTGCACACATTTATATTCGCTGCACGTGGACACTCCAAGAGACATTCCATGAGCACTGGGGAATTGTTTTGACGAAGCTCAGTGGTACGACCATGGCCGTGCCTGCTGCGGTACCAGTGTTGCCGGCCCGCCATTGTCAGATAACCCACTGCTGCATGCATGTGCATAGTCATGAGTCTTGAATTCACCCTACACTTCCCTGTAAGCAATGTACAGTACCTAGACATACTCTTAAGTTTGAGGGATTGAAAAGGGGATCAGGGAAAGCTAGATATACGTACACGTTTGGCTCCAGAGCTATCCAATCCTTGTGCCCCCCCCCCCCCCCCCCCTGCTATTTTGACCTGGCTAGAACCCTGGTCATGAGTCTTGAACTAATATTAATTCACTCTACATCCGCATGTAGGTAATGTAGAACACATAGACATACTCAAAGGTTGAGGGATTGAAAATGGAATCCGGGAAAGCTTGATATACATACATGTTTGGTACCAGTGCTGTCCAATCCTTGTGTCGCCACTGGTACCAGAGAAGGTGGCTGTGGAGCTCGCCCCTTCCTCTTTCTGCCCGGCAGCATTCTGCACAGGACACAAGACATTCATCAATGATAGCGTTGTGAACAATGTTGCTGCTCTATAAAGGACACGGTGGAACATTCCCCGTAGGATTAATGTTATCACTCCGTTGCCTAGCAACAGGAGATGAGATCCAGTAAATCTGGGGGGCAAAGTGTTCTACAACCATATCATATGATGACATCATGCAATGACATCATGCAATGACATCACTAAAGGTATACCATCAAGTGCCCGATTGACCCCTCTTAACCAGGTCAATGATGGCTGGGACACCAACCCCAGGCTCTCTACATTAACTTATGGATAAGTAAGTTATGCACCATTTTCCTCCTGACACACAATCAACTTGAATAGCTAGATGGAGATCTCATTGGTGCACCAACTTTCAGGAGGCAAGAATGGAAGACTCTGCGGCGCTGACGCCTGTTGGGATTTCCCTAGTAAGAGAAGAATAAGACCGCAGACTGTGGCACAATTGTGTATTGTGATTACTCCGCTGAAATGCTTCGACATTTAGACTGATTTTAGAGGCCAAATCAGTGTACAGTAAAACCTGTAACTAACGACCACCCCTTGGTGCCAGCAAAAGCGGTCTTTAGTGGCAGGTGGTCTTTAGTTGGAGGTTTGCACTGCGCGACCATATATGGATCCCGTATATGATATGTATGTCAAAATGCAGCTAATACGATTCCCCAGGACTTGCGCAATGCCATTCTTATTTCAGGTCAAACAACACTTGGAGAGAGAGAGAGAGAGAGAGAGAGAGAGAGAGAGAGAGAGAGAGAGAGAGAGAGAGAGAGAGAGAGAGAGAGAGAGAGAGAGAGAGAGAGAGAGAGAGAGAGAGAGAGAGAGAGAGAGAGAGAGAGAGAGAGAGAGAGAGAGAGAGAGAGAGAGAGAGAGAGAGAAGAGAGAGAGAGAGAGAGAGAGAGAGAGAGAGAGAGAGAGAGAGAGAGAGAGAGAGAGAGAGAGAGAGAGAGAGAGAGAGAGAGAGACAGAGAGAGAGAGAGAGAGAGAGAGAGAGAGAGAGAGAGAGAGAGAGAGAGAGAGAGAGAGAGAGAGAGAGAGAGAGAGAGAGAGAGAGAGAGAGAGAGAGAGAGAGAGAGAGAGAGAGAGAGAGAGAGAGAGAGAGAGAGAGAGAGAGAGAGAGAGAGAGAGAGAGAGAGAGAGAGACAGAGGGAGAAGGCTACTTTTTGCAGACATCAAATTCAGCTGCTACTTCTGAAACCAGGAATCAAACGTTCCCTGTAGAAGTTTCGTTTTACGCTGGGCTTAATTTGTTCATGTGATCAATCGTACCGACTGTCCTTGTTGTAACTTCTCGATTGCTTGAACGCGGTCCTTCAGCATCAGGACCTTGCGGTGCTGCTTGTTTCTGGATTCCTTGATGCCATCGTCGATTCGTCTGTATGACTGGGGTGTCAGAGCTGCTCTGTCTTTGTTTCTCCTCCGAGTAGTAACATCGATCAGAGAGCGCTTTCAATGCGCTCTTCAAGACGTTTCCAATCGTGTTTATTCTTGACAGAGCTTGGAATTTGGACAGGTGTAATGCAGTCCACACCGATTCCACAGTCAAAATGACCTGTGTTCATTTGTTCAGCTGTAGTATCGAAAGAGTCCTTTCAGGACCATGGAAAATCAGCAAATTTTCAAGAAGGAGCTTCGAGCAACATTTGATTTCCTACATCGCGGTCGCTAATTACGGGTCAATATTCGTCTTTGGGGCAAGAATAGGCGGTCGCTGGTCGCGTTCAGCAGGTAGTCGCTAGTCACAGTGCATTTTGAATGTGAGACCGTCCGTGCCTGGCGAAGTGGTCGGTAGTACCAGGCTGGTCGCTAGTCACGGTGGTCGGTAGTAGCAGGCTGGTCGCTAGTCACGGTGCCGGTCTTTAGTTACAGGTTTTACTGTATTATATTCATCCATGGGTACATGGGTACATGGGTACATGGGTACATGGGGTCACTGGGGCACAGAGTGGCATGTCAATCCTGTTCTGGCTGCAGTTACTGTAGCATGTCTGACACCCCTGATAACCCAGCTAGGCCCTCCTGCATGGACCAGTTGGAAAAGGGAAATGTCACCGTTCCCGTAACCACATCATAGCAGGGGTGCCGTAAGGTGTTATACAATGGAGTGGCTGCAAAATGATGGGAAATGTTTTGGAAAATTGGGCCCAAATAGCACATAGTTTCGTTGCGTCGAGCGTCAGGTCAAGTCGGCGGAAAAGTGCGAGCTCCAGTGTGGGGAGCAAACACCTTTTCAAAAATCAGAGGATGAAATTTTGGTGCGGCGTTGGTGGCACCTGGCTCTCTGGTTCCGACACCCCTGAATAGGCACACTTGGCTTGGCTACAAATACTTCACAGCACACTATGCTTGAGCAGAACTCCCCGTAGCATCTTGGTGTACTGAGGTATGCAGGTAATGTGTGATCTGTAGAAGCCAGGCCAGCGGTCTGGTCAGAAAGCACACATGCCTGATGATTTGACGAGGTAAACTGAATGCCATACCAGATCCCAACTCTCCCCAATGATCATGCCCAGGAGCATAAGGTCTATCGCTGGTGTTGGGTCCACAGTTAGTGGCATCAATGATGTCACAGTTAGGTCCAGGGTGACCATGGCATGGTCTGTGGTATCTCTGTGCTATGCATGCCTATCTATGGCACACTGCCATAGCTAGCACTAAACAAGGGTGTATCTCCGACAATAATTATAATTATAACAAGCCTCCAGTCGGCTGTCCTGGGGCTATCAGAGTACCTCACGCTGACCTCTAACGCAGAGTACCCTGTTCCCTGGCAGTGATGTCTAATTATGACTCAAGAATAGGGATAATTGGATTAAACAAATGTTGTGCCTGGCAATGGTATGTGGTGGTGCCTTTGAATCCCAAAAGAATAATGCAATTATTCAAAGATATTGACTTGATACTAGCAAAAGCCTGACCATTCCTGGCCATAGCAGGCAAATAACTACACGCATACAAGGCTACATACACAAGTGGTGCACTTCACTAACAATTACATGCCGTATCTGGGGGGAGATTAGGCAAAGGAAACAGGAAATGTTGTTGTTGTTGTTGTTGTCACGTGATTCATTACAGCACATTGCCATAGACAGGGCATGTACTGCACGCTTGCATATGGGCATACTGTCACAGACCTGCGCACTGTAGAGTGTAGTCATCTACCTCCAAGTACTGAGTAGTCGTGTACCCCAAACATGCACAATCTTCGTGGATATGGGTGTGGGTATGGTGAGGCATGGTAGTGCTTTCAGTCTACTGCATGCATGCGGTCACTACATGTACAAACAGTAGTGCTGTAGTATATAATGAATCTGGCTGGTCTGTGACATGGTGTCAAGTGTGGGTGTCCTCATTCACCTCCTAGCCGATCCTGGTATTTGTACCAACACCCCTAACATGTATACTCCCAACACCTAGTAACCAGCTGGGGAGCTAAGCTGAATGGGCTGACCTACTCCCGCAAGGCTGGCTGCCCATGGACCCGGAGAGACAGGACCAGGCGGAGAGGAAATTTCCTCCAAAGAAAACACTAGCAGCTCGTCAGCACATTAGTACCACACCTCCCCGGGTCTGCAGTGCATAGTGGCCTTCACAGCTAGCTAGCTAGCTACATAGTCCCTGCAACACCCTACTACAGCTGCCTGGTCTCTGCTCTAACAACCAATAGAATTATATAATATAATTATGCTTGCTACCAAAACAGGACAACAATATCACATGCATCCAAGCCACCTACATGTAATTGAAAATTTGAAATAGTAGCATAGTGCACATGCACACACACACACACACACACATACACACACACATACACACACACACACACACACACATACACACACACACACATACACATACACACACACATACACACACACATACACACATACACACACACACACACACACACACACACACACATACACACACACATACACACACACATACACACATACACACACACACACACATACACACACATACATACACACATACATACACACATACACACACACATACATACACACACACATACACACACACACACACACACACACACACACACACACACACACACATACACATGCACACTTAGTGACACACCCAGCGATGGGAATTGACTTCCATCAGATACTTGGACCAATAATGTACCATCAACGAAATTTAACAGCCAACAAACGACAACCTGACAACCCTCCACCACTGATCGCCACCACAGCTTAAAAATAGAAAAGCTTCAAGTTGAAAAGCGAGGATTCCTATTGCCTACTACAATGCTAGTACATAGTAGGGTAGACAAGCTTCTCCTCCGTCGATGATGGAGGAGCAGCTTGTCTACCCTACAATTCGAGCTCTGTTTCAATTCACTGACATTATGGAAGAATGTTTCTTCATGTCTGGGCAGAAATGAGCCAGTGCAGTAGGCAGAGTAGTCATCATGAATAGTTACCACTGCACATGGTATTGCTCTGCTCAGGCATGTTTATTGTAGCCCGCATGGGGCATGGGGGGGAAGGGGGGGGGGGGCGGGGAGGGGGTACGTGCACCCCTAAAAATGTCGACCTAGATTCAGCATGCACATACATTGTAATGATGACATGCACCAGCCATCCTAGGGCATATGCGGCCGTGCACCCCCCCCCCCCCTCCTTCCCCCAAAAAGGGGGACCAGCTATGCCCCTGGCCCGCTGTTATATTCTACAGCCTACAGGCACACCACTACCCACATCATCACCAGCATCAGCATCATCACTAGACGTCCCAGCACATTCATTGCCAGTGACAAACAGACAAACAGACAAACAGCGACTACTCAGCCTTAGGTACTATCTACGGCTGAGACTATTGTGTATTCGTCTGTCAAGGGGGGGGGGCTAGTAAAAATAAATAATAAGAACAAGCAGAGCAAGAGCAGGCTAGGTCCTTTCCCAACGCCATGAAAACCGAGTGAGTGGACCCATGTGTGTCACACCCATATAGCCAAGTACCAATCAGAACTAATCTTTATTTCAGGATTACCCAAAGGCTGACGCCTCTGGGGGGGGGGGGGGGATCTCCTGTTTGTGTATGAACAATGAACATTGGAGTTGATCTAGTAGATCTACTCGTGCAGGCATATCCATGAACTGTTGGTGTGGCCAGTAGATCTGCAAGATTGGACAGAATTTATGACTACGGTGTTTTACGGCCCGTATTTCGGTAAAACTAACAGTTTTACCCTGTACTTCGGTAAAACTAACAGTTTTACAATCACAACGCAGAGTTGCTGTTTGACTTGCAAAAGTGCTCAACCCATGGAGCGGAGCCTGTGACACAAGATCACAATGGTTATGGTGGGAATCTTCATATTTTCATAGGGGATTCACGCATACACACACACACACACACACACACACACACACACACACACACACACACACGGGGAAAACCACGGTTTGGGAAAGCTGTTAGGGAAGGCACGGTACTGGGGGAAAGGAAGAACCTCTTGGGGGAAATTTGACAAAGCCGTGACCGTGGGCCTCAGGGCGTTTATCAAGAGAAAAATCCCACCACTATCGCACGTGCGTAGATCTTGCCTTTGGCGAGAACTCTGAACCCTAGTTGAACGAGTGCATCGCAGCCTGCATTTTCAGACAGTGCCCATGCGGAAAATCGTGCATGGCGAATTCAAAACATAGTACCTAATATTCACTGGTTGAGGGAATAGTACAGAATTTACAGATTACATGTAGACGAATCCGTTGATCCCCGAGCTGCAGAGAGTGCTCTATGTCAGAGACAGAGCTTAGTACATAGCAGACTCAGCGGAGGACGTTCAGGTTGGTTGTGACTCTGAGTTCATGCCGCTAGGCAATCATCAGACTCAGTTGTCTGATGATTGCCTAGCGGCATGAAACTCAGATTACATGTATATTTTTTAATTCCCCGCCACAAATTCATGTCCAAACACCCAGCCAAGGGAAAACTGACCATGGGTGTGAACGGCCCCACTCGGTGCCCGACCGTCTGAACTTTACCTTGTCCCGTGACCTCAGGTTTTACCGTGAGTGTAAATCCCCTATTATAACCGGGAGTTTCATGGCAAAATTGACAATCATCAGACAATAAATGTTATACTGAGTACTAGTATCCTTTTTTGTTTTGTTTTACATGTACAGTAGAGTAGTTGGCTGGTCGGTCACGTGTGTCGTTATTTCATCTGCACAACCATGTCACGCATGTGCTTGACAAACAGCTAGCCCTCCAACTATACCATGTACATGTAGTACACAGCGGGTGAAAAGCTTATCAGCAACGACTACGTGTGCGGAAGAACGAGTTTACCAGAACCGTGAAGAAGAGCTGCGGCTTGCCAAGCCGGGGCTAGGCTTGCGCTCGCCGACAATCTTTTTGCACAAGCAACGAAATAAATACTTCTGTGACAAAAGCCATTGCGGAAAGTACAAGCACAAACTCAACAGTGCAAAAGGTCGGATGGGCTGACACGTGGAAACGCCAACAAGGGTCAGGCCGTGGACTTGAAACAGCGTTTGTCATACCAATCCCACTACACCACATAACAGCGAGTATTTTCGGAGTAGTGACAACAGCTGACGTGATGCGTGCATCGTGTTGGTGTTCCAGCAACACACGACCATGCCGGAGATGTTTTCCCCGCAAACAAAACAGGCACGTGTAATAACCCACAACTCAGTTTTCATGCGCTTGCTTACCTCGGCGGAGCGACGTGACAACAGGAAATCCTGGTGTCCGGTACCTTCCGAAACCAGCACTGCAGCTGGCACTGCTGTTGCAGCAATCGCCGCGTCGACTCTCACAACCCGTCCTCCTGCCACGAACTCTACACAACACGATCCGGTCTCCGATCTGTGGTAGTACATGTACTAGTGATTCGTCTCCGATCTGTGGTAGTGATTCGTCTCCGATCTGACAAGCTGCTTGTGACAGTAGACTGAGTAGTGTTCAGGCCAAGTGAAACTGAGCGATGCGACACAAACACTAGCACCGTCGGACGTCGTTCTTCGCAAACGTGTTGTACAGTCATCTACTGTGTGCGGTGCAGACATGCGACTGATACGAAGGTAGTAGATCTAAACTGATGTAGAATAATATACATGCCCCACTACAGGCACTAGTATCGGTGCTTTTCACATTCTGAATCTAGACTGCCTCATCTACGCCCGACTACGGAGCACTTCACACACAACCCTTGACGTATTGATAGCACTCCACTTGCTGAATGCCTCGCCCACCGACCGATCGACAATGCTACGGTCCCCGCTTCAACGATTGGCAAACTACAATGAACAATCATAATCATTGTAGGGAGGTCGGCTGAAGCTAGTGCAGTAGTCATGGTAGTGGCGGATACAGTATCCGGATGTGGGTCTCGGGTGACCGGTGGTGTGGAGGTAGTTCGGTTGAAAGTTTAAAAAAGTGATTTTACTACAAAATGTAGTACTGTAAATAAACGCCACCGCCGCGATTACCGGTACCCGGACCCGTATTATTCACTCCTCAGAGTCCTCACATTGCTAGATGCAGTTGTTTATGTACGTGCATTGATGTTGATCTATTGACTGAGTATTGTAGTTCCGTGGTAGACTAGGAGTAGATCTACGTCGAGTAGGATTACCGTCTGCCATGGTCTACCGACCGTGAACATGGTGAAGACTGTCAAAAGAGGATGGATGCATCGATCGCCTAGTCCAACTCGGCTACACTAGTACTAGACAAGAGTAGTCTACAGCCAGCATCCGCCTCGCCGGACTGCTGCACCAAGACGTCGCCATGCCATGGCATCAACAGGGCTGGCTAGGCTGACGGCCAGTCAACGTCCGCTTCCGATTCCTCCTCACACTGCACTCAGTGTACTGTAGACTGTAAGCAGTCCAAGCCGTATCCAGTCCAAGCCGTATCCAGTCCAAGCCGTATCCAGTCCAAGCCGTACCCAGTCCAAGCTGTGCCCAGTTCAACGCCAGATCAGAGTCTACCATTGTAGTACTACTACTACCCTTTTTATTTTTTTTAATGGCTTTCTCTTCTTCCTCGAATGGTTTACAATCTGTATCACAATTATTTGTGGGTTCAGCAATAAAGGATGTGACTACTACTAGTACTACTACCGGGCAGTACCCGCACATGCCCATGACATTGCACAGACCCAGTCATGACTCATGTAGCATCAGATTAGAATGATAATGATTGTATTTGTACAATCGTGTACAAGTAAATAATTAGTATTTACTTGTAGTATGATTGGGCTACTGGAACTCGACATTCAACTGATCTGCACATCATATCACTCATGAGGGAGTACGAGTCGTAGGTCTACCAGGTCCCCTGTACATGTATTTTTTTACAAACCCCGCTTGATGTAGACTAGCGGTCCCGCTCGGCGGATGCTGTCGTTTTAGGACACCGCATGCACCCTCTTGAAAGTCTCTTATCTTGCCAGCAACCAAGTCTTGCCAGTCTCGATCTCTGTGTACGACACCGAGTCCCTGATGTACATATACATGTGCATCAGATTCTGTATCCAGTGTTGGAGAGACTCCTTCTAATTCTGCTTTGAAACCTAAAAACTAGTAAAAGGCAACACGATGAAAACAGCCCGAGGATAGTGCGAATGTGGAGCGTCTGAGTGGATCAGTCTGTGTTACATGTAGATCTACACTATGGTCTGGATGTAGCGATGGGGGAATGCTTTGGGAATGCACAGTCCTGTACTGTACAGTCAACGTGTAGTGTTCGACAACATCAAAATCCTGTCTTTTGCTCTGCTGCAGACCGGGTAAGGTGCTAGTCACGTGAGTAGATGATTGTGAGAGATTGTTTTCAAAAGGCCAGGCAGGAGAGCTAGAGAGCGGGCACTTCATCAGTTTTTCAAGGCTTTCACTGCAATCCCATATTTGGTGCAGCTCTGCCTGTAGAGGACTTAGTGCTTACTGCTATACATGTACTACTACTAGTAATTTGTAGTGGTGTTTGGACTCAGAGCAACAACAACCACTGATAGTGATACTGATACTACCAAGAGTATAATTAGCTTATTTTACTCTTGATACTACTGGTACTGTACTGACTGACACAGCACAGCCACTGACTCTGATCCTATAATACTAGCACAACTCTGTATCTACTGTATGTAGTATGACATGCATCATGATTACTGTACCTGTAGCCAGTGTAGGACAGCAACAGTGGTCCCTTTATAATCCACACCTTTTGTGCTAAGGATTAGGGAGGGTGCTGGATTAGGGAGGGTGCTGGATCAGGGAGGGTGCTGGATTAGGGAGGGTGCTGGATTAGGGAGGGTGCTGGATTAGGGAGGGTGCTGGATTAGGAAGGGTGCTGGATTAGGGAGGGTGCTGGATTAGGGAGGGTGCTGGATTAGGGAGGGTGCTGGATTAGGGAGGGTGCTGGATTAGGGAGGGTGCTGGATTAGGAAGGGTGCTGGATTAGGGAGGGTGCTGGATTAGGGAGGGTGCTGGATTAGGGAGGGTGCTGGATTAGGGAGGGTGCTGGATTAGGGAGGGTGCTGGATTAGGAAGGGTGCTGGATTAGGGAGGGTGCTGGATTAGGGAGGGTGCTGGATTAGGGAGGGTGCTGGATTAGGGAGGGTGCTGGATTAGGAAGGGTGCTGGATTAGGGAGGGTGCTGGATTAGGAAGGGTGCTGGATTAGGGAGGGTGCTGGATTAGGGAGGGTGCTGGATTAGGGAGGGTGCTGGATTAGGGAGGGTGCTGGATTAGGGAGGGTGCTGGATTAAGGAGGGTGCTGGATTAGGGAGGGTGCTGGATTAGGGAGGGTGCTGGATTAGGGAGGGTGCTGGATTAGGGAGGGTGCTGGATTAAGGAGGGTGCTGGATTAGGGAGGGTGCTGGATTAGGGAGGGTGCTGGATTAGGGAGGGTGCTGGATTAGGGAGGGTGCTGGATTTACAACTCTGATTTTCTGCTGCAATGTGCATGAAGAGGACATTCAGGTTACTGAAAATTATGCTGCTTTATAGAGGCTGGCCTAAAAAGTGCTGGATTATGCCGGGGATGGCCGCAGTGTACTGATTGGTTGTTGGGGTTTTGTTTGTTCTTGTGTAGGGAATCTGTGCACCTCATGGCGTGGATTATGGGAAATTCTGGTATATCCAGGGTACAGGTAGGGCCATGTAGAGATGCACTACGCACTATGAATCATCGTCACCAGTGATGTACATGTACATGAGCTGTGGTAGTGCAGTGCTGCAACATTCCGCGTCCAGCCGGGGACACGTTAGCCATCAGCCGGCAGCCACTTAAATACTGTAACGGCCTCAGAGGAAACTAAGGTGAAGAAGTGTGGTGTGTGTGCATGTATCCACATAGACTAGACCCAGGCTAAAACTCTGTCACAAAACTTAAATTTTGTTCTTAAAAGAAGCCACCTGGGAATCGAGGCCTCCTGGGAATCGAGGCCACCTGGGTAGACCTTGGCAGATGATGCTGGCAGAAAAATCACTGGGTGAGTTTTCTGCATGTTCAGATGAGGAAGAGGAACAGACATCACGGAATTGTCTGCCACAATACGCCTTGTATGGTTCTGCCGGTTTCAAGGTTTCTTGAGCAGCCAGAGTCTGCCAATTTTCGAGCTGATTATTTGGCGTGCACTACATCTGAGATTGGAAGACACCCGCTTGCGATTTGTGCGTGTCCGTCAGCAGTCCCCTGGCCTGCGTGGCTGGAGATAGAGACTGGCTGCACACAGCAAAATCTGTCTAAGCCGACCGCTCAAGGGACCTTACAAATGTGGTCCCGTGTACAGGTGGTCTCCTTATCCAGGGTCATTTGACAAGAAATGATTATTATTATAAGCACTATCGCGATGTAAGCGGGGATGCCTACTTCACTTGTGCCATCCCAGGTCATTTGACAAGAAATGATTTTCCTTCTGAGTCAAAATGGCCCTCTACGGCAGCTGGATGCCTTATCAAAGTGGTCGTCTTGACAGGTCTCACAGTATTCGGATCTCTGAAATGATGAAATAGGGACAGCCCCTGGGAAGTTAAGCCTATAATCAAATTTTCACCAATTGTTGTAGTCTTCGGGGTGCTGAGTCGAATGATCTTGGTCTGAGTAAGCTGAGACGCTCCGTTCCTCCTTTATTATGTAAGTTTATTCCCAATTGAACTCGCGCACTTCCACCGAAACTGGATGATTGTGCCCTACTAGATGGGGATTTATATGCAAAACGTCACTAAAAGTGTCATTTCGTTCTTATAAAAGCACGGATGACTGCGATTGGCCCATATGTTGTAGTCAGGGAGTCGTCAAATACCGGTATTTGACGACTCCCTGGTTGTAGTCTTTCGGACGCCAAGTCGACTGATGTTGGTCCGAGAAAGCTGCTATGCAGCGTCCGGCCAGTACTCTCAACCGAACATAGTCAAGTTGAATAAGCGGCCACGTGCTCATGCGTGCACAAGTCACCTGGTCACCGTGCCTGCAGGGTACAACTTACAGCCTGTTTGGGCACGTTCCTGTGACCCGAGTTGAACCTTGGTGTGAAAGTTGTAGCCTGCAGGCACGGTGACTTGTGCACACATGAGCACGTGACCCCTCATTCAACTATGTTCGATTGGGAATATGGGCCGAACGCTGTATCGCAGCTTTCTCAGACCAAAACCAGTTGACTCAGCGTCCGAAAGACTACAACATATAGGCCAATCGCGGTCATCCGTGCTTTTATAAGAACGAAATGGCGCTTTTAGTGACATTTTGCGTACAAATCCCCATCTAGTAGGGCGCAGTCACCCAGTTTCGGTGGAAGTGCGCGAGTTCGATTGGGAATAAAGGAGGAACGGAGCGTCTCAGCTTCTTCGGACCAAGACCATTGAACTCAGCACCCCGAAGACTACAACTGGTGAAAGTTTGATTTTTAGGCTTAACATCCCCTTTAAACTCGGATGGTGAGTAGGCACCGGCGGATAATACCGGCAGAAAAATTGGCAGAATTCGGTACTTTTTCTGGTAAGTTTCATGCATGTTTGGTATGTGGATAAAGAAATGGAGCAGAATTCGAGGAATTGCCCGCCATAAGGTTTGTATGGTTCTGCCAATTTCACTGCTTTTCGAGCAGAATCTGCCAGACTGCCACCTTTTTGAGCAGAATCCGCCGGTGCCTAGCGGTGAGCCAATTTTACAAGTACACTCATACCTTGGTTATCCGGACTCAAAGTTACAGGCACTTCGGTCTACCGGGCACCCTTTGAGCGCGTTTCGGTGGAAATGTTACTGCTTTTTTGTCACTTTTGTGGAATTAGTGATGTCACATGCCACATAGCTAACTGTTATGGCCTTTCTCCATCAAAGTGTATGTGATTCAGAGTTACGAACATTTCGAAGTTTATAATACGGGCCCGAACCGCCCGGATAAACGAGGTAAATGTACAAGTGCATCATGGAAAAGAGTAAAGACAATAGTGTTACCAGTTACTGTAAAAATAGTGTAAAATTAATATACAAAAGTACCGCAACAAGGAGGACTAATTTCGCTGCAAAACGATATTTGTAGGGCACACAACGAGAAAGAACGAGAGGATTTGTTCAGACTGTCATTACTAATTATTAGTCCTCAGTGTTCCTGTATTAAAAGCTGCTGTCTCTGAAACGTTTGTATGCAAACTAGCAGTACTTCTTTAATTTCGGCTTTATTCGGCACCTACTCCAAATGCCTCGATTTTCAAATTTAGGCATTTTGGGTATGTTAGGTCCAACAGGTCCAACAGGAGAACAACGTAGCGAGCTTCGAGGTTGTTATCGAGAATCAAAGAGTCGAGCATCAACAGGTATTTAAATGGCTAAATGCTGATGAAATTTTTCACATCTGCTTTGGTAATTATCATGATCAACATACAATAATTATTGTTGTCCTTACTCAGTCGCCTGGTTGTCGGCCACTCTGTCATTGATCCTGACTCCTGAGGCTTACATAAGCTATTGACGGACAAAAGCAATGCTTACATGTATACTACCAGATGTACAGGTCAATGAATAACTACATGTACGTGCAAATAGCGGTGTCGTTAGCTCTTACATTGTGACCACAAGAATAGAAAAGCTGACAGGATCGCTTAGACTAAATAATTAAGTGCACATGGTATGGACCAATGTCACATTTGCCTGACGGTGCTGGTACAGACTGTGAATTTCTGACAGTGTGGACGGCTTTTAGATGTTTGCACGGTGCTAGGGACCGGTGGATTCTCCTCGAAAAGGTGGCAGATTCTGCTCGAAAAGCAGTGAAGTTGGCAGAACCATACAAACCTTATGGCGGGCAATTCCTCGAATTCTGCTCCATTTCTTTATCCACATACCAAACATGCATGAAACTTACCAGAAAAAGTACCGAATTCTGCCAATTGTTCTGCCGGCATAATCCGCCGGTGCCTACACGGTGCACATCACTTTCCGAGTTTGCCTGCTGCTGAAACTATATTATTAGTCTTGTATGGTATGGACTTGGATGGAGAGCCAAAGATAAATGTGTAGGGAAAAAAGAACCAAGGAACTACATTTACAAGTTACGCTATAATTTCCACTAACACCACCAGTTACTAAACAATAAGCTTAACCGTGCAATGTTATCACATGAGCTCATTGTTTAGTAACTGGTGGTGTTAGTGGACATTATAGCGTCACTTGTAGTTCCCTGGTCCTTTTCACATTTTCTATAAATTTACTGTATGGTATGATCTGTATTTCCTTGGCGCCAACAGGCTGAATCCCCCGCCCGTCCCGTCCCACGCCGTCAAGTTGAGCGTCTGTTGTTGTCTGTTTCGGTCGTGTTCGGTTGGATCTTTGTAGCAACTTTTTTTACTCGAACCTGGACGGTCCAAATCTTACGAATATTCGTTATGCGCAGCCTCTCTAACATGACCCGGTCAGCCGACCTGAAACAAGGTTACCATATTTTCTCCAATAAGACCCCAGTCTCTAATAATGACCCGGGCGGGGTGAGAGTTGTTCGCAATAATCAAAGCACAGTCTCTAATGATAGCGCGGGCCACAATTGAAGCGTATAATGACTGCATATAAAAAACAGCAGTGTCGCATGCCAAGCACATAATATTTGTAAGGAGATTTTCAGTCTACTACTTCCCTCCTGGCGCCCATGTTTGTATTGTGAAACATCAGTTTTGACAATATTCCTGAGTTTAGGGTTGAGATAATGAGTCTTGCTACAGTCAGCTTATGCCTATAGTACAGTCGACCTACCCTTATAACGATATTTGCGTCCGACCAAGAAATATTGTTATAAGGGTAATATTGTTATAAGGGTAACTGGTTCATGCATACATGTACGTCATAATGCATGAATTTAGTTCATTTCTTACTCTCTTCATAGCGTCAAAAACGTATGTACATGCACATTATGTACACAGCAAGGTGCCCACTGGTGCCCTCATCGCATTTCGTCATGTCCTAACTGTTACTGTTAGCGACTTATCAAGTGAAGCTTGCCCTACAGTACAGTGGACTCTACATATTCCCTGCTGGATATTCCCTGCTGGATATTCCCTGCTGGATATTCCCTGCTGGATATTGTTATAAAAATGGAAAATGTCGATTGGTCAGCCCATGTTTTTTGGGGTAATATCGTTATAGCAATACCGGTATTGTTATACTTGAAGTAAGGGTAAGGCGTTGTATACAAAAGTCAACGGAGTGATTTGGTTTGGCAGAAAAATACGTTATAAGGGTAATATCGTTATAGGGAAGTAGTGGTTGCGACTTCGGCGGTGATTTGTAAGAAAGGGTTTGCTCCCCACACCGGAGCTCGCGCTATTCCGCCGACTTTACTTGACACTTGACTGACTCACGACTGCCATCCAGAGCACACGAGAAGTCCATCGAACCTTCGACTCGGCAAACCTGCAAGAAAGCACCACTCCCTGCTCAATACACAGTGTTTCGGGGAATTCACCCCTCATCAGTTGAGCTTGAGTAGGCTGAGGAAGATTGTGGCTGAAGAGCACCACTTATATAGTGCTCTCCAGGCACAAACATCACCAGGGATACAAACTTACAGAGACGCTCCATTTCCAGCGCGACAAACACCTCGTGAACACCAGATAGCAGCGTGAGTCAGTGTCGCTCCTGGACGGTGAGACCAGACGTTGAGGACCCTCGGTCATTCGCAACGCTGTCACCTCCAAACCAACTAGTCGCAAGCCCGCGCTGGGCACAACAGTACGAAGTAGTGGTTGCGACTTCGGCGATGATTTGTAAGAAAGGGTTTGCTTCCCACACTGGAGCTCGTGCTAAAGTAAAGTCGGCGGAATAGCGCGAGCTCCAGCGTGGGGAGCAAACCCCATCGTTATAGGGGTTATCGTTATAAGGGTAGGTTGACTGTATATAGACTGAAGTTGGCTTGATAGTGGAGCATTGAAAAAATAAAAGCACAGTCTCCAATAACAGCACAATCTCTGATAGTAGCGCGGGTAGAGCTGTCACTTAAACAATAAGAACCCGGGCTCTTATTAGAGAAAATACGGTACTAGTACTTGGTTACTAGTATGCACTCTTGATTGCACATACCGTGCGAGCGGTATATCCACCGGGGCCAAGAGCCCAACAGAGAACTGAAAGTGCAGTACCGTAGCATGGTCCGTGAAGCTTTCCCAGACTGAAGGCATCTCAGTTGTGTACAAGGACTGTACTGTCATGTACACACGTGCGACTACATACACACAGACACTCACACATGCACATGCACAGACACTCACACATGCACAGACACCCACACGCACACAGTGCACACACACACACACACACATTCGTATGCACGCCCACCAAACACTCCAAAACGTCGTTGCAAAAACACACTTCAAATTTTTAACCAAAAACACGTTGTTCAAGTAACAGTAAAAAAAAGGTTTGACGCCGATAATTCAAGATCAGCTACAGCTAGACAATGAAACAAGACAAGCAGAAGAGCAGATGGAAAACAAGAACAAAAGCACTACGTGTACACCAGTATCGCTTCTGTACCAGTATGTCTGCATACTACCGCGATGCCGATACTACTACTACTACCTACAGACTATGTATAAAGAGTATAGTCCGTCCAAAACAAAGGGCAGCAATCACACAAAGACTTCGTACAGCTAAAAACAAAAACAAAAAGCCTGGCAGCTTGGGCAGCGAGCACGCACACACACACACACACGCACGCACACAGAACATAATTACAGAAAAGCCAGCATGTACAAGAACGGGCGGTGTGAGGCACCAAAGGAGAGCATATATAAGCCAGCTATATACACAATAAACAAGCAATGTGGTCTTGACGAGCTCGTCCGGACAAAGCATCGGTCCATCCCGGGGTGAGCAGGCACAGCATCAATGCGGCCGCCCCAACTAAGTCCTATCCTTACATGGAATCGCCACGGCAACCGTACACGGTATCGCATAGCACTGGAGAAGCGGACAACGACGGGGATAAAAAAATGTACAAATATCTACTAGGGGAGAGTAAACGTAATAGAAAGTAGCGAGCGGCGGCAGCAGCAAGATACCTAAGCCAAGATGGCACCGTACAAACACACACACACACACATGTTCACATGTTCACACGTACACACACACACACACACACTAACAAGCAGTAGGGGTGGCAAGCACGCACAGAGGCCAAACACTAGCACGGGTAGCAACAACAGCAGCAGCAACACACAACTGGAAAGGCTACAGTTCAGTCCGGAGGAGAGCAAGACATGGGTTAGTGTGTTGTCCAGGTCGTCCACACCACACACTACTTACTCGAGTTTGGACTTCTTCGCCTCACCGCCCGCACCTGCAGCTGCATCTACAGGACGTTTCTGACTGGTAGGGGCGGTTGCCTCGGATTTGACTTCCTGTAACCATCTGACCTGGGTAGCCGGACCGTAGCCCTTCTCATTGCGCGCCGCAATGCGGAAGATGATAGCCGGCTTTGTCGTGACATCCACGTGCGCAGAGGACAAGCTTGTTGAGGAGACGGTACACAGTGGCTCAGCGCCGCAGTAGACACGCACAAACGCCAGCTGCACGGCCTGCGTGGCGCTGGCAGCTGCCGCCGCCTGGCTCGGACTGCGGATCGCCAGATACACAGAGTACTCGGTGATTGTACCGGCGGAGTTAGCCGGAGGCTCCCAGCTCAGATGCGCCCCGTCACTACCCTTGCTTATACGAATTGCACTCGGCGCACCCGGGAAACCAGGCAAGCAAGTCTTGAATGCAGCGATGTCCGAAAACTCTCCCACTCCGCATGCGTTGATGGCCGCCACGCGGAATTTATATGCTGTGCCCGGCTGCAGCTCGACACGATTCGCTGGATTGTTCATTGTGGGATCGGTTTCACCGAGCACGTTGGCATCACTGGGCAAGTCGTCAGACTCGGTGTTCGCATAGTGCGTCACAACCATGGTCGTCTGCTTGCATCGGCCAACGTTGTACCAGTGCAGGCCTGCGCTGCTAGCAGCTTCTGACGAGGTCTCATTGGCAGTGACAGCTGTAGCACCGCTACTTGTCTGTCCCGAGGAAGCAGGCCCAGTAGCGGCACCACTGGCTGCTGCAGATTTACTGGGGGCGTCATACTTCTGTACCTGCAGGATGTAATTCTCGGCCGTTGGCGTTCCCGACCAGCACACCTCCAGCGTATTGGTCGAAGCCCTGACCAGCTGAACACGAGGTGGTGCTGGCGGGCGCTCCGTCTCCAGATACCATAGGTCGCGGCAGCACTGCTGGTTCTGCGACAGCTTGCGATGGCCGTCGCGGCCAGACCAGATGTACATACGAGTGTCCACGCCCGCTGCACAGTGGCCGGCGCGAGAGCGAGGACACAGGTCCTCCTTGACAGACTCCGCCACGCAGAGCGACTCCCAGGCGCGTGTGCCCAGATTGTATCTAACCAAACTGTTCGTGCACTTCCACTCGCGCTCGTGCTCCGCGAGGTCTTCATTGTTCGGCAAGCTCTCGCCGCCCGATGGTGCTCTGGCGTCGGTGGTTGCAGTGCTTGAGCGGTTTAATAATTTAGTAGCACCCGCCTGCGCTAGACTCATTGTTCCATACTTATCATCCGGATCCAGAGGTACCCAGCCTCCGTAAACATACATTTTATCCTTGATCAGTACTGCTGTGTGTAAGCTGCGCGGTGAGGGAGGTAAGCCGCTACCCGCCGACACCTCATACCACGTCATATATTTTATGTCCAGCATCCATAGATCGTTCATACGGTGACCGCACATTCCGCCAAACACGAGCAGTTTTCCACCCTCGCCACCGTGCGAGTCGCTGCTGCTTATCGACACGCACGAGTGCGATTCGCGTTCGTGCGGCAGCGGCCCGCTCGTAGTGGGTACACCCCAGTGCAGTGTGGTGCCTTCCTTCACGTCCAGTGTGAACAGATCGTTCAGATAGCGTGGAACATTCCTCTTCATCTCCTGTGCATCGTTTGCCAGACCAGCAAAAATGTAAGCTCGTTCTCCGACCAAGTTGAAACTATGACCTAACCTGGGACATGGGGGTTCCCCCAACGGAGTGAGACGCCGCCATTCCCAACGGCTGGCAAGCAATTCATACAAATCATTCGTGTATCGTCCGTACTCCACCATGCCTCCGAATATCAATAGACGAACACCATCACAAATGAATCCAAATGCTGCACAGCCACTGGGGATATCCCCTCGTACTGGTGGAGTAAACCATTGATTTGTAGCAGTATTGAGCACGTGGAGCTCATCAACAATTCCTTCATTGCCACCGCCAAAGATAATTATCAAATCACGAATTGCCACTGCTCTATGTCCATGCCTTGGCCTTGGGTTGGGACCAGTCATGTCCCTGAGCGGAATTTGCCTCCATCGCGGCTTCGTGCGCACAGGACGCGAGGCCATTTTTCCAAACTCTTCCAAATTCCCCTAGGAACCGCGCATGCGTACTTCAAGAATAAATGAATGTACGGGACGAACGTGATGGCATACGCGCCTACACGTGTGCTGACTGCTGTACGATGCCGAATCTCGCTGCAGGCATGCATGCTGCACTGATGGCGAAAGCTTCAAAAAATAATGGGCATACCGTTTCCCTCAAACTAGTCAAGACATACTGTCAGTCGACTAGTCCCAGGCCAGCTTGGCGCGTCGAGCGAGTTCACTGTGCACATGTGGAGCCTTTTTCCTGTTTTGCTAGCTGGCCCTTGGCTTTGGCTTTGTGTTCGAGGATGGAACCTGTGGTGATTTTTCTGGCTTGCTTTATCCATTACTACTACTAGTGAGCAAACTTCTGTCGGCGGTATACAGCGATGTCGATGGCTGTCACGGAGTGTACATGTAATGATGTATGTATTGTTGTTTTTAAATAGACATGTACTGTATACATGTAATGACATAGGTGACCAGTGCCAGGGCATACAGTCATGCTTTCAATTGCATGCCATTTTCATGATTTTGCATGTGAATATTTAAAAAATAATTTTTTTTCAAAAATTCAAAAACTGGATCCATAAAAACTGGATCCATATGGATCCAGTTTTTGTATGGATCCAAGCATATTTCAAGCGGTCTTACTCACAGCAAGGTGATAATAGGGACCTTTCGCATTTGCTACGAAACGAATGCAAAACGAAAGTTTGATTCGGCTCGTAATCGTTTCGTTGAAAACAGATTTCAGGTTTCGCAAGTCGTCATGCAAATGTGCATGGCAACTACGAATACGGCCGCGGGCGCCGGTAGCTTGGCGTACGGGTTTTTACACGCACACGTGCATGGATCAGGGAATCAAGGGAAAAATGTGTACCTTGCAAAACATGTGTACCTATCCAAATAAATGTGTACCTGACGGATTCGGAGCGTGCCACGAATGAAGAGGCTTCCATTCGTGAAAACGAGTTCTCCGCAGGGACTCTGACGAATCCTCGAACCCAGGTGACGAATCAGCATTCGTTTCGTATCCGTACGCGGGGTGCGAAAGGTCCCTAATTATAGCCTGTGACATTGACTGGGTTGGCTAATGGGGGTGGGGTGACAACTGTGTGGTGAGGAAAACTACGGTCACACCTGCATGCAACAGCAGTGAGATGCTATGCACCCACACACTGTAGGCAATAGCAAAGTAGTAGTAGTAGTAGTAGAATTTATTATTTTGATAGGGAAGGCCCTACAGACGTTGCCGTCTTGTTACAGGGAACCCTAGAGCGTGCTCCCAGCAGGGCAAAGTCACACCTTAGTGGATTCAAAAGTAGAAATCTGACTTGAACATACTACCGTAAAAGTCCGTAAATAAGTACGTATTTACTTTCGAATTTAGTGACCACACCCCGTACTAACTTTCGGGCGGGTACTGACTTTCGGGCACGAACTAACTAACGTGTTACTTTCAGACCTGACTTGTATGCAGTGGAGAAGTCGTTTTCATGTCGATGTACATGCTGCATGTGCGCACCGTACCGGTACTTATTTCGGGCAGTATGTTTATCGGGCTTGACTTGACTTCAACAGACAGAGCCAAAAGAATGAACTTGGGGTACCGTAGAATCCCGCGTATAAGCCCAGGGAAAGTTCGAACATCACTAGGCTTCGTCGTACAAGCCCATGGGCCTAATTCGTACCAAGGGTCCATAAATTATGGACTCTTGGTCGTATCATGTACATGTACATAGTGCATGGTAGGGTTTTTTTGTACATTTCAACACTATCATCTGTTGTTTTTGTTTGCACAGTGGCTTTCAGCAATGTACTTCTCACTTCCTTGGTACTTTTCAATAGCACAATGTTGGTGTCAGCGTATAAGCCCATGTCTGCGTATAAGCCCATGTTCTTGTATAAGCCCACCGAAATGTCCTTGTGAAACGGATAAGCGCATGGGCTTATCCGCGGGATTCTACGGTATTTCTTTCGGGCAGGTACTTATTTACGGACTTTTACGGTACTCCCTGGGCGTTTTGACGTCATCGCTTTCAAGCCCTATTAGCTGCAGGAGTGTGTTGCACCTCAATCCGAAGATGGTACAAAGCATTTGTAAACAGCTGTACAGTATGACCAAGTGTTCCATGAAAAGCATCAGTGTTATTATTAGAAGGCAGGCTATGCCAGACGCATGACAGTATGATTTGGTCATCGTTGCCTGAAACAAGCCGACATTTTTCAGGCAACCATCACTGAACATCAGAATACTTCAGGTTTCACCGTGCCGTCTCTATGGTTGTAGCCAGTGAGCGACTTTCCCATGGCGCCCTTGGTAGAGCCTAAGAAAAACCTGTGGAAATGTCGCACGATCTCTTCCAGCCAACAATTGCAGCTGTGCCGTGTTCGCTCGGTGGCGATTGGCGCATGCGCAGCCAGTCGCCACTGTCTCATTCCTGGCACAGTGGCGATAATACATATCGACGTCGCTGTACCCTCTGTGTTCTACCATCCCACTATGCCTGCCTGCAGGATGTCTCTAAATAACCCAGGCACATCCGTCAACTGCGCACTTTTCTCGCCTCTCTCCACTCACAACATCGGTTTAAGTTTCAGTGAAAAAGACCCCAGAAAGAATTTTCATCCAGCGCATGCGCCAAGAGTGAATAGCAACTAAATAGAGCGGTTGTCAGTTGACAAACCCCCTTTTCTTTATAATGCAGTTGCGTGATGTCCACCGCTTTCTGAAGAAACTATTGGTTGGCATAACAAGTGTCTGCTTGCATGCAGCACTCAGTGTGTATGTTCTCTGTTACCGGCAGCTCCTAACGTTAGTTCGGGCCAGTGCCCGATGATCCAACCTGCCCGGATAAAGGGATACTGTATACTTCAGCCGACGCTCTTCAATTTCAAGCTTGCTACAGCCCCAATACACCGGGAAGTGCAATAGCGCGTGGCGTGAGACTATCCAATCTGTTTACAGCCCGGAACAATGTCATCTAAGTGGACACCGTTCTGAAAAGGAGCACTGAAGCATGAGTGCCACTGCCGACCCGGTACGACACACGGAGTAAGTCTCTGACGTTGATCTAGGGAAGTTGAGGAACTATGTCAATTCCCACAAGTCAGTTTGGTCAATTTTCGACAGTCACGTTGATTACATCACGATACATGACGTTATACGAGGAAGAGGTTCGTGGCGACTTCGGCGATACTTGAGGAGTGACATGATTCTAAAAGGTCCCGAATCGTGATAGAGGTTTATTCAAAGTTTCACATTTAGGGGAGTGGTGTCCAGTCACTGTGTGCAGTTGAATGGCATAACACCTGCAAACCCGGGGCCAGCTCCCAAGCTGGGGTGGTACGGCCCCAGGTCGGCTGCAGGGCCGACAATTTCCGCATGCCCAATTATTTCAGTGTCATGGGAGGATTCATCTCTTGCTCTGTGCGGCATCACATCTGGTTGTTCCACCTACACGTAACGCTAGCAACAGATACAATTTTTTGTTTTGTTTGTTTGTTTATTTAGAGTCGAAGAACAAACAGGCAAATTTGCCTAATTAGTAATTACATGACATCGACTGTAATGTGCATGTATACAGTTAAGTCTAGTTAGCTCAGTAGTCCTCACAGGACATGATGAACAGTTTATGGGTGAGAGACTCTAGCGAGGATAGCTTATCTGTACCTCGACACAATTGATCATACACTGACAATCTGCGAAATCTGGAATTAGTAGAAACTGGTACGGCCACGCCGTACCAGTGGCGCCGGCCCTGCCCTGTCAGTTTATCGTACGCGAGGGCACCATGCATGTCGCGGAAATTATACATCAGTTGGCGTGTTCTGCTGTTTGGGAGGGAAGTCAACTCTCACTATGCTATTCACACAGCTGGCCTCTGTTCTGTTTACAACATCCTGGATTCTTATATACAGGGTGCTTACGCACAAACACGGCCGCCATGTTTTCTGCATGGCAGCTTGTTCCATATTTTATAGGTGGGTTTTCTGCATGGCAGCTTGCTCCGGCCATATTTAATAGGTGGGTACACGCAGCTGTGTTTCTCAACACAGCTGTTTAGCCGGTAGTGAAGCAGGTGTGCGACCTTTACTTCGTTTTACTTTTTTTTACTCACAAGCAGCTCAATAGTGAGTATGAGCCGCATAAAGTTGACAAATTTTCGGCCCGTTCAAATTCCGGCCTCCTAGGGCTAAAACCCATTTCGGCCGAAATGTTCCGCCTGTACTCGTACCGCTCGCCTGTATACAGTGTCGCACTGAACCTTGCAAAACAAAATTTCGGCCGCAACAAATTTTTCGGCCAAACATGACCAGGTCGAAAATAGCCGAAATTAAAGACGCGCCGAATATTTGTTGACTTACAGTACTGGGTGCATAGCTGATTGCCTTTAACGTAAACCATGTTGACACCAGGAGACGACCAATCAGTGACGTTCCAGCAAGTCAAGTGATAACACTGCTCACAGTCAACTCACCAATCAGCCCAGAGCACCACCGCTCCTCAGTGGCAAGGGCTTCAAAGGTAATCATAGTATTTGATCAATACTGCCCGGTGCAGCTGCACAGTCCACCTGAGAAGGAAGAGTAAAGGTAAATACAACTCACTCCAGTCTTTCTAGACGGCATGCTTAGAAGCGGTATGGGCACTCCATTATGCAATGTACCCTCGTAGATCATGGAAGGTATGATAATGGTTGAAGGTATCTTCCAACACCCTAGTTGCACTGTGTGGGATGAAGCTCATACGAAAAAGGTTGCTTCCACTTTAAGTTTAGGTTATTTGCTTGAAATTTGCCGGGTGATCTGCCCCCCGCCCCGCTATTGAATCAACGTAATGTGTACGTTACGAGTTATAATGTAGAGACTTAAATGCCACCCGGCACATGTCCTGGCACATTTCCAAAACTCAGCCACACCATGACGGCAACTGACATGAGCACTACTATGGAGTTATCATGATGATGAGATGGCCAAACAATAAGAGGACAGAGAAAGTGTTTTGATGATGAGATGGCAGTACACTGTG